AAGAAAGTTCACAAACACAAAAAAAAAAAAAAAAACCGTAATAACAAAAAAAAAAAAAAAAACCCCAAAAACACAAAAAAAAAAAAAAAAAAAAAAAAAAAAAAAAAAAAAAAAAAAAAAAAAAAAAAAAAACAATAATAATAAATAATAATCGACGAAGACTATATCATATGTAAACGCCTCTTTAAATAGATTATATCCCTGTTTAATTCTTTGACAATTATAGTCAGAGCTTCATTATTCAATGCTCGTTTTGTATAAACCTCCAACTTTGAATGGAATCATGTAATAAATCGTGACAATGATCTAAGAATTAATAATTATTTATTTGTTATATGATCACCACGCAAAGATTTTCTAATAGTACGATTACTCGATATGAACATCTTAACTCCGAAATCGGTCCGATCACAGAATTAAGACTATTTGGGATTCATATTCATGGTCAAAAGTTACCAGTCAGAATAGCTAGTAAAGATAACCAGCAAAAAATAGTCAACAAAAATAGCCAACGAAAATAGTTAGTAAAAGTAGCCTACCAATTTATTATGTTAAAAAATAATAATAATAATAATAAATTCTATTTTAAATGCGGTGATTGAGTAATACGAATGAATTTATCCACTATCTAATAAAATATTCTTATTTTATTAATTCAAGATGAATTAAAATATATTGTCTTGACATATATTTAAAAGCTTGTGACTCTACTTACTAATAGTCTTCAATCAATGTTTTACATAACCCATTCAACATATCTGCCTATGGTGCAAGTAATGCAGATCCATTATTATGGTTTTATAACTCATTGGTTCCAACTTCTTACTAATTCTTCTTACATTTTATTCGGAGTATTTTTATATAGCAATCATAGATGACTATCTAGATCACTTACATTCGTTTGAACAAAATGATGGTAGAACAAATAATAATGGGGAGAAATGTAGCAACATACGGGTGATTACGACACATTAAAAGGCAATTAATACAATACGAATGATAATATCAATGCAAAGATGCATAGAGTATCCAGGCTTGTGTGATTTCGGGATTTTCATTGTTTGAACAATAAGAAATCGTGTACAGTAAGTCTGGATACTCTAAAAGAGTTAAACCTAGCATACATTTCACATCGCGCGACCCATGAAAGATACTGTTAGCCTTCAAAATTAACTTACTTTAAACGTTCATAATTTTGTCTCAATGATTAGAATTTGATAATCTCATCATTAGATTCAGCTCTAAGACGATTCTAATGAGCTATAGATCATCTGATTTTAATCACATGATCACAGTATCGTTGCCGTTACAGACAAATTTGCTTGCTTGATTTTTGAGCAAAATATTTATTTTTTAGCGTATGTTGACCATGCTCAAAGAGCACTGTATAATAGAATTGCCTAATCGATGCATAATGACGGTTATTTATGCTTAATTAACGGTTAAAAATCATATGATAAACACCAGTAAAATATCGGTTTTCTATCAACATTTATTTAATGAAGTTATGTTTCTACTAACTCGGTCTCTTAACCGTTTATAATTTTTAAAATCAACTGGACATTAATTGATTAACCAGTTAACAGTTGAACGATTACAATACCTACTTTCTAGGGTTCTCTAAAATAATAAAATCAATACGAAAATGTAAGACTTTCTATTAAAGATGATTAGGTGATTAGGTACCTACACCCAAACGAATTTATTAATTCGATGGTGACTATTAGTGGATAACTAATAACATTGATCAGCAAAAGATTCAAAAAAAAAAGCTACATTTTTCATTTATAAATGGAGATGTACTCTTTACCTTTTATAAAATTTGAATGGTTAAATCTTTGAAATGATTTTCTGAAAGCTTTTTTTCTGAGATGTAACTTGATTAAATTACCCACCTTTTATAACTAACGCTAGCTAACTTATCGGACCTGGGGAATTCGAGTTATTGTGCTTTTGAAACGGCATATGTAACAATCAAGAACTTTGTTTATGAAACTAACCGATGAAAGGAAAGATGTCAAGAATTTTTAATCACATGAGAAGTAAACTATGCCAACGTCCGATAAAAATATATTTAATCTTTCTATTTCATTGTCTAACCTGAAAAGGTATTATGAAAGTACTGTGAGAAAAAAAAATTTTTTTGTAATACATATTAAATGCTCGATCCGATTATATAAATTAATACAATAAGTATTTATTCTCTTTTTTCTTCAATAGTATCGACAACTGGACCATATGATCTTAAAATTCTACAAGGCCGACTTGCATGCATGTTCTTTACCTTTTTCATAACTATGTGAAATATTTCCCTGATGATTACTATCCTTTACCGATTCTTCTTCATCCTGATCAACATCATTAAAATGATTATTTCACCCATATTGTATTCATTATTTGGTTGCTCAGCATCAATATCTTTGACTCACGCATGTTTTTGCAGGTGTAAATCATTAAATGAAGTAGGTCTGGATCTATCACGAGAATTATTCGAATATAATGAAAGTATACTTCTTTCTCTTTAATATATATATGTTGTTTTGTAATATTTCGATAAATAATCAAAAGCTTTAATGGATAAAATCCCATTTGTTGAGATGGTATTGTCAATATTTTCTTTTTACAATTAAATGTATATCAATATAAATAGCCGTATAAAATACTCCTCAATAGACCCAACATGTACGTACGTACTATACCTCGGTGCAAATCACAGGATCTTATTAATTGGATGCGGTTCTTTCAGAAATCTGGATTGTTTATTATACGGTAAACTCGGAGTGTATGTGCATTTCAAATTTTTACAAAATATGATACAAACCCTTAACCATATATTATACCGGGCCTATTAAAGAGGTTAAATGTAACAGATTCGGATCTTGTAAGATAGACATTTAGAAGACTCGTACATCACAATGTTCAATGTCTCTCACTTCCGTATTTGTCTAATTCTTTTAAAGTTATATTTGTATTACATAGCCATGTTAATTTAACCTATATGCTCGCGTATGTACACGCTAAATTTACAGAATAAACGTGATCTCCGCGCAAACATAAAAAAAAAAATAACGTAATCGTTAAAAATATAACGTAATCGTTCTAAAAAAAATTTTAAAATGTATAAGTGCATGCCCTCGACTTTGGTTAAATAAGGATGTATCTCTCTGAATTCATTACCAAAATAAAGAACACAAAGTTCTATAATAACTATAGATGCAGACTTATTGACGTTACTAGTTACGGCTCAATTGTGGATTATTTTATAAACCGATTTTTTATATAGGACGTAACTAGGTGATGTCATAAGTCTGCATCTATAATAATAACTGCCTAGTGATCCTAAAGATACGAATTCCATGTTTTATGTAGCTTACTCCATCGGAGTTAAATTCGGCACGATTATATCAAGCTATCCCTTACGATGGTTACACCAACCAAAGCACGAAATTTTTGGTTAACCCGGGTAAGCCCGAACAAAATCATATGTTCTCAAGTTTAGGCCCTTTCTACTGCAAAGACCCACATCATCATGTAACCACGTTTGAGAATTTACTTAAAATTTTTATTAATCTAAAATTGATTGATTTGATTGATTATTTAAGACGACCTACGTTGATCATGCAGAATCTTGTTATCCAGATAAGTCATGGGCTTGAGACTTTTTCTCCTTATTTTTCTCTTTTATTATATTACTAACCTTTCTTTATTTCGTAATTACAGAAATTCATTAATTTTCTTTCTTATAATGGCATAGGTCCTACCAGATTTCTAGTTCCTTGCATATATCGAATTGTGTTTCTCTTGTTTGTACGTACGGATATATTCCAAAGTACGTTAACTAGTACAGCCAAAAATAACCATTTATGTGTTATGTAAGCAACTTTACTCTGTAAAACATTTTTGATCTTATGTAATATCAATATTAATGCATTTGACAAATCACAATTAAATATGCGATAATTGAACACTGGGTCAGTACATCCTATCATTAACCCACGCCATAATTTCATTTCCGTTTCGTATGTACAATAAACGCGTGAGCATTCAGTGTAAAAAGGTCAATTTTTTTTACAGCATTTCACCACAAATGTTATACAGTCAACTCTCTTTATAATGAACCTCTCTATACCGAATTCTGGATATAATGAACTAAAAGTTTTTGAATTTTATATTAGTTCGGTATAAAAGAAGTTAAGGCTTCTTAAAAAAATATAATAATTTTATATAGCGAACTTATTTTTATATCCAGAACCAACAGTTCGTTATAGAAAGAGTTGACTGTATCTGGACGTTTTCCACGCTGCTCATTACCCAATCTATCTGCATTGACTTCACCAGATCGTTCAGAACTACTGACTAACGTGAATTTTCCTAGAAGAAGATCCACATTTAACTCTGGTCCGAATACGGAATTATTCCAAGAGTCATTTCTAA